TTGGACGCTTAACTGCCTGAGCCACCCAGGTGCCGCATAGATTTTTGAATACTTTCAACTAATTTTTTGATCCCCAAATTAGAATAAATTGGAGCACAGTGACAATGTTTAATGCAACATACTCATTTAGGGCCAAGATCATGCCTGTTTTCCTATCCACTATATCTTGACAACCTCAAGATGAAAATATGTGTTCAATGTATGACCTCATTGATAAATGTATGTGCTCAAGAAATATTTCTTATATAGATACAAGAAACCTCTACCTTAAACTCAAACTTAAAATTGTCTATTCCCATCATGTAGTGGCCAAGATAACTTTTTTTTGATAAACCAAGAATTATGTCTTTGGCTTAAGGGAAGCATAAAACTGGCTTCCATGTCTTGTATATGTGACAGGCCCCTAGAATTCCTAGAAACAGACCTGGAACCCATAGACAAACCCAAATCCCATGAGTTTATAATACATCTGAGAGTCTCCAACCTATCATCTTGAGCAAGAAGAGGCAGCTGGAGCATGGGCTCTGGAGCTAGTCATCAGAGTCAGAATCTGACTTTACCAATCACTATAATTTGACCTGAGGCAATATGGTTAACTTCTTTCTGGTTCTACTTTACTCTCTGCACATTATTGCTGGAAGGATTAAAATAATTACCAGATGTTGGGGGATGTGGGTGGCTCAGTCAGGTAAGCATTAGACTTTGGCTCAGGTCATGATCTCACAGTTTGTGAGTTCAAGCCCACATCAGGTTCTGTGCTGACAGCTCAGAGCCTGGAGCCTGCTTTGGAAGCTATGACTCCCTCTCTCTCTCTCTGCCCCTCCCCTGGTCATGCTCATGCTCTGTCTCTCAAAAAATAAATAAATGTTAAAAAATTTTTAAAAATAATTAATAGATGTAAAAGCACTTACAAGAGAGACTATCCAATAGTAAACACCTAGTTAATATTAGCTGTAAATGATGGCATGCATATGCCTTTGCAGTAGCTGAAGTAAATTATGGTCAGGATTGTCCCATCTGCAATTTCTAATACTCATGAATATCTTTATCAGACCTGCCATGTTGTCAGAATTATGGTTTGCCTTTAAAGTGAACACTCCCCTTAATCCATTTGATATCCAAGGTTGCAAGAATAAAAACTAAACTTTGGAGAGTATTTACTATTTTCCAGACAATTTACATGTACTTCCTTACTGACAGTTACAGAAGTTTAAGTATTTGCTCATCGACCACAGTAAATAGGAGAGCTTTAACTTGAAGACAGAGAATCTTATACTAGAATCTGTGTATTTTTCAAGGGTTGGGCATCATGATTTCCTACAGGCTCTTGGAACAGACACATCACATTATTGGGGCATCCTCCACAGCACCACCCAAAGCATTCACGCATACAGTAGACTCTCCTCAAGTACATATAGAATAGATGGATACATGGGTGAGTGGATGAGTGGGCAGTGGCTTGACACATGAACCATGGCACAACATTTGTCCTCCCAAATTCGGATACCAGAAAATTTCATCACAATAAATTAAATTTAAAAACCTCCAAGTGCCTTATATCATGATCTATTCAAGAGCACAAATGGAGTGAGTAGCATTAACGAGGAGTCCATTCTAAAACAATTTGGAATGTCTTCACTTTCTTGGACTCCCTGATGGTGAAACAGGCTCCTGATTGCTTAGCACACCTATCTGTTGAATATTCACACTGATGGAGGGGGGTAGCGATGCAGAAAATACAGAACATCAGATAATCCAAAGTCATTTATATTTGGCTCAGGAATGCTTTGCATAATAATTTTGCAGCTGATTGATCCTCCAGGGTTTGTTTGTGCTGATATTAAGGCAGTTTTCATTCTGAGAAAATGCTGACAGGATAGAGTGGGTTGTAAGGCTAAACATAAATGTGAGAAAATCATTCATTCATTCATTCATTCACTCATCAGGTCCTAGATGAGAGCTTATTTATGCCAGGCATTGTGATAGGTATTAAGGATAAAAAAGAAATGAGGGGGGCACCTGGGTGGTTCAGTCTGTTAAGCTTCTGACTCTTGATTTCAGCTCAGGTCATGATCTCATGGTTCACAGGTTCAAGTCCCATATCAAGCTCAGTGCTGACAGTGTAGGGCCTGTTTGAGATTCTCTCTCTTTTCCCCTCTCTGCCCCTCCCCCATGCTTGCTCGATCTGTCTCTCTCTCTCTCTCTTTCTCAAAATAAATAAACGTAAAAAAAAATAAGTGGGATATTTATAGTCTTGGCCCTGGAGATATTTACAAATACATAAAATTAATAGTTAGCCATATGTCATTTCAGTCCTGTGAATAGATATGCCACTATGCCCCAGATTCATCTGTCATATACAAACACATTTATCACATCTGAAGTAAAAGTCAGCTTAGATATAGATATTTACAAACTCAGGTTATAGCACTGATTCTCATGAAGTAATAATAGTAGATGCATATGATACTACTAGATTCTGACTGTTCTAAATGCTTTAAATGTATCAGCTAATTTAGCTCTGACAAAAATACCTGTAAGAAGTAGTATTATTATCACCCCCATTTTACAGGTGAGAAAACTGAGGCTTAGAAAATAAGTTGCCTAAAGCAACAAAGTTTTTTGGTGGCAGGGCTAAAATTTGAGTCTAGGCAGCCTGCCTCCAGAACCTGGGTTCTTATAACCATAATCTGCTGCCCTCCTCCATCAAAATGCCAAATTCCATGAGACTTAAAGATTATCATTGATCCTTGTAGAAAAAAAAAATTTAAATTATTTCCTCATCTTCACACCTACAAAAGTTAAATTTCATTTATTAGAAAACTTTAAGCATATGGTATTAAATTTTTTGAAGAAAGGTAATAACTGAAAGAAAATATCTGCAAACTATGTTACAAAAAAAATCATTAGTATAACCTACTAGGAAAGTGAGGAAATGATATAAAGAATTCACTGAAGAAATTCAAGTGGTCACTAAATGTTAAACTGATATTCAAACTAATTAGTTATCAAAGAATGGCAAATGAAAAAAAAATATATATATAATTATATATATATATCAAATTAGTAAAAAACCTACAGCCTCAACCACACTACGCACTGACCTGGATGTGGAAAAACAAGAACTCTCATACATTGATGCTGGAAGCAGAAATGGGTAGAACCGCTTTGGAGAGCAATTTGGCACGATCTAGTAAAAGGGTCCACCCCTGCAGCTTCTCATTTCTGTTAACCTTGAAAAAGGATCTTGCCTGACAAAAACTCTTGTAAGGACACATATGCCAAGATACTCGTTGCGGCTTGATTTGTAATTATGGACAAGTGGAAAGCAATGTAAATACTTCTAGGGAAAGGAATAAAGGAAAAGAAATCCTGTCCCAACCTAGGATACTAAAACAGTAGTAAAAGTAGGACTTAGTGTTATATCTGTTTATTTCAACATCTGTATGCCTGTATGCAGTGCAGAAAGTGAAAACATCTGATACTACGCATGCACATTTGGGAAAAAGCAGTATACGTGGATACAAATATACGTGTAGAGAAATACGAACCAAGAGCCGGAAGGGCACATCCCACATTCTCACCAGTAATTGCCACACATACAGACCCAGGTGAATGGAATTGGAGGATCGAAGGAAGCTTCAACTTTGTCTTAGTTTTTCCACAAAAGGGCTCACACAAATATGACCAAAAGCTAATTTTAAAAAATGAGTCTGGAGTGGCAGAAATCTGGTGTTTTAAATATTAACCTGTCTAATTTGTATTTTTTATATAATTTTCAAAGACAAAGAACAAAGATGAGGACATCCTCTTGGGGAGGGATATTTTTATTTAAACTTGAACGTGAACTAGTCCTCATCTACTAGATGACACAAACTACTTTCTGCTTTGGTTATAGTCGTTTGTACGCATGCCTTACTTCTTGTACTAGGCCAAGCTCTTTAAAGCCAGGTTTCAGGTCAGTGTCAGCTTTGAAGTTCCTCTAAATCACACACATGCAGGCATGTGTGCTTGCACACATGTACACGCATATACACACGTGTGTGTATATGCATGTACATATACACACAATCACATACCAATTCCTGTATGTGTGCATATGCTTACACATTTACACAAAACCAAACCGTATCTTGTATATAGAGTACTTCCCATAAACACTTATGGAATGAATAAAGAGTTTGGATAAACTACTCTTTCTTTCAATAACTCGACCTGATATTTTTTCTGCTATGACAAAGTCAACTTGGACAGGAATGGGGCAACAGGTGACTAACCAATCCTCTCTCACTCAGGTAATTCATCTATTTCAGAGGTTATAAATAGTTTTTAGCAGTTACTATTTTTGCAAATGGCATCTTAATTCGAAGCATAAACAAAAACATAACAGGAGAGCTTCTTTGGTTGAAGCAGGGGAAATGGTTCTATGCCACTCCCAAATACACACACTTCCCCATCTCACAATTCAGAAAAAAAGTGCCAGAAAACCCTCACAGTGCGGCAAACAGAGTGTAACACATTGCTGTATTTATAGTGAAAATAGCATCGTGTTCCAATGCACCGCTAGCAAATGGCTTGTGCAAGAAGTGTTGATATTTTCCTGTGTCTTTTGCTGTTCTATGCATTAACTTGGCCTTCCTTTCAGCCCCACCCTATCTCTCCTTTGAAACCATTGTCTCCTTGACATGAAAAATGTACTTCAGAAAGCCTAATGGCTAATTACATCAAAGGGAAGAAAGTCCAAACCTCAAACAAGGAATGATTAACTGCGCAAGCTTTAACGGAAGTTATCACACCCTCAAAACTACTCCTCTTCTTTAATAAAAATGTTTCCAGTAATTTATTTTCTGACAAAGTTTGTGTTCTCTGCCCAGGAGTGACTCCTGTTTTGTTCACTCCAGGGTTGTACCCTATCTATGGCTGGCCCTGACCATGGGCAAAACAGGCAGCCACCTACATAATATGATTTATGCAAATACAGCACATTGAGGGAATACATACCAGACCTCATGGGAGAGGAAATCCTGCTTGCTTCAGTGGTGTTTCCCAGGTTGTGTTGCATGGCATCTTAGTGGGTTTGCATGAAATGCAAAAAACAATGGTAAGGGAAGTTGTTCCATGATCAAATAACCATGTGAAATTTGGGGCTACACAAAAGTAACAATTTTATTTATTAACAGAGATTTTAATACTCTATTTATTCTTAAAACAGGTACCAGGGAAGATTATGTATTCATGCATTTTCCTTCTAAAAGCTCCTTGAAAATAAAGACTATGTCTCTAATAGTCAACAGTATATTCCCAACACTTAGCACATTGCCTTTAATATAACAGACACTCAGTAATGTTCTTGAATAAATTAGTAAATCACTAACCACCATCATTGTGAATAATGATATTTCTACACTCTACAATGACTTGAGTGCCTTCATAAGGTGCACCTTAACTATGCCTCAAAAGAATCTCACAGAAATGTAAGACAAGAGTAAAAATCTACATGTCACACATTAGGAAGCTATGGGTCAAAGAAATATCAAGGAAGAGAAAAAGAAAGAAATTAAAATTTCTGAGGATCTACTATGCCACTACACTACACCCAGGATCTACTTGCCACCTTCTTGATATACATAATCTCATTTTATCCTCACAGCAGTCCTATAAAGTTCCTATTACAGGTGAGGAAATTCAAAGTTCCAGGATTGACTAAACTCAACCCAAAGACACATAGGGAGGCAATGGAAGCACTAAGGGTGGTTCCTGGGTCTTCTGATCCTGTTTCTTGACTTACGTTTAGTTCAACTATTCCTCACTAGAAAACACACACACACACACACACACACACACACACACACACACACACACAAGAATATTGGGGGCAAAGAAGCAAACAACCTTTGAATAAACATGAAACAGCCATGTCTAAAATATCATACAGACGTCTGGGCATTTTGCATTTTAGTTTATTTATGGATTATCTTTATTTTTCAGATTTTGCTAGAAATGATTCAAAGATAGAGTCCATGGTATGAGAACAATCTGAAAGAATTAGAATATATGAACTTGAAAAGATGGTGGCTGAGGATAGACATGATTGATAAATCAACAATATAAATTTTTTTATTGCATCCTGAAATACTATAAAGTCAGGTAAATCTGGGTACACTACAGTGATGTTAGAATGATGCTTTAGAGTAAATGCTTAAGGTCAGATGCCATGAAAGATAAAAATGTGGATATTCATAGGCTGCTTCTTATATGCTTGACTGTACTAAGCGTTTTATGTGGATTGTCTCAATTAAACCTTCAAACAACCTTGTGAGGTATTTAATTTTATACAGATAAGGAATCCAAGGCAGATGAGAGTTAAGTAACTTGGCCATAGCAACACAGGTAGTAAGTGGTGGGGCCAGAAAAATAATTATGATACTCTCTTTCACACTTAATGAACTTAGCAATCAATTTCAATGGGCTTTGATATATATCATCTCTATTCCTAACATCAGCACTGTGAGGTAGGTAAGTAGGCGTTATTATGCCCATGTCACAGAGAAGGAAACTGAGGCTGCATCCAAGGCAAGATCACACAACTAGTAGTGAGAAGAGCCAGAGAGAATCCAAGTCTCCAGACTCTTACCTCATTGCTCTTTCTATTTCATGTTCATTATTATCTCTCTCAGAGCAGAATATTAGACAAACACTCTTATGGCTGAGGCTACACACATTGCCCCAAATCTCTCTACTCAGGGCAAAAGTCAGAAGAACCTCTGTGTGACGCCTTGGGCATGTTATTTGGTGCCCTCGCACAATCTCTCCCACTTCTCTCTCCCCAAAAAAGCATTTTGGGTTACGCAATGCAAAAGAGACAATGTCTACAAGGAGATTACTGCTGAAACATATTTTGTCTCAAAAATGAACAAAGCTTCAGTGATCTCCTCTGGCTTTTTTCCAAAAGCACCAGCTACTTATTCTAAGGATGGGGTGGGTGGCTATTTCAACCAAAAGGAAGAACCAGCCCTAACCACACACCATCCCGAGGTGGGACAAACAAGTGTGAACTCTCAAAACAGCAATTGCCCATCATCACAATTGTGTTTTCTTCACTCAGTATAGGTGGAAGCTCCAATTTTAGTAAAAACAATCAATACGAGAAAGGCCAGGAATATCTAAAGATGGCTGACTGGAGGAAAATTTGTGATAGTAAAATCTGGAAAATCCATAGCTGGCTCCAGGAGTTGCCTTAATCATCACATTATATTATTTCTCCCTATGGATCTTGGAAGAGGCTGCAGATTCCATCCACTCCATTGTACCACTTTATCCACTTAATTTCATCCAACCTTTACCTAAAATGTCTTTATTTCTAAAGACAGAAAAACGTCTAAACTTTATTAAAATTTTACATTAATGAATGGTCTCTGGTGTTGGTTCCTCATTCAACAAGCACTTGTAAAACATGCACTAGTGCTATGTTCTACAAAAAAAGAGACAAATAAGGAACCACTAGCTCCTAAAACACCAACAGCATTGTGCTGTAAAAGACATTTCTCATCCCTCTGGCCAGATATGAATGCTACGGAGACAAAACCGTAGGTCTCAAAATTCTTAGTCTTGTGCTCTCTTAAGTTTTCCAACTTCTCATTACGTAATCTATTTGTTGTATGGGGGTTTCCTGTAACATAGGAAGTGATGGCAGTGGAGATGGTTAGAAGATGGATATAAAAAGTGTGATAGGTTAGCCTATAACTGGACCTGGTGGCTGACATTGGCTTAGAGAATGTGCAGGGCGAAGAGGGAAAAGAAGTCAAAAGTGATGCCTAGGACGGCTAGAGCGGTGGTTCTTCCCAAGACAGCGACTACCCGAAGTAGTTTGTCTAGAAGGAGGTGGAGGGCCTCAGGGGGAGATGAGCCTGGTTTTGAATGTGTTGAGTCTGAAGAGTTTATGGAATGTCTAGCCAAAAGAACATAATACCAATGTAAGCTTGTAGGGTCTGAAGTTCAGGAAGAGATTCAATGTCTTGGAGGCCCAGAGATAATGAAGGTCTCCTAGAGAAAGTGTGGAAAATAAGAAGGGTTCTGTGGTCAGAGCCCTCAGGAACGATGACATTTGAGACTGCAAGTGACCTTGAGAAGGAATAGCCAGCAAGCAGAGGAAAATCTGTCAAGAAAGATGTTGAGAAACCAAGGAAACACGTCATATGGAGAAGGAGAGTGTATTCAGCTATGTCAATTGCTTTTGAGATGTCAGTAGTCAACCTTGAAAAGTGTCCCTACAAACATACAATGAACACTTGTCAATCCTGATCACTACCCTTCCCATATATGTTGAAAAAGCATGTATCTGGCCTTGTTCTCCAGACTCCCTGGCCAAGGCCTTAGAAAAGAGGCCAGGCCATTCACAACCATTGTCTGCCTTCTCTGACCTCCTCATCTTTTTTCTTTCTGTTGGGGCTAGCCTCACAGCTAGAAATGTTGCCCTAATAAAGTCAGGTAAGCTTATTTTTAAGTTAGTTTAGTTTAGTTTTCTTCTTCCATAGAAGACTATAATTTCCCTCCAAATTGAATCCATATCCTAGAACTTGGCAATACTAATCACCTGAGAGAGCATCCATGAAAACATGAAAAGTGAAGCTTTTCATGAAAAGTGAAGCATACAACAAATGCTTAATAAATGCTAGCCAAATAAGAAAATGCTTGAACAGCTGAGATAGTCAAGATTTTAACTTTTTCATGTTTTAAAATATTTCCTTATGTCCGGAAAAAGATTGTTAATAACCTCAAGAGCCATGTGGCACGTGTGCATGTGTGTGTGCGTGTGCGTGTGTGTGTGCATAAGCCATTTGTGACAATTGGCAACATAGAATGGTTACTGACTTGGAGGATTAAGTTATGAATGATACAGCACAGAGAAAACCTGAAAGAACACATTTTTAAATGCAAGGTCTGAGTGCTGATTGACATACTTTGTACGATAGTAAAATCTGGCAGGTGCATTAACTTGCATTCCTCTGATCTGTACACATCCACACTTGTCTTCTTAGGGTACTTGGTAATAAGCTTCTTTAAAGATCCCTGAGTAAGCACTGCAGATAATATCTGGAGTATGTAGCACTCAGTCCTTTTAGAATGGCTTTTTCCTGCTCCTTTCGTTTTCTTAAGAAAATGTCAGTTTAATCATTTCCTAATGCTTTGATAATGTGTTTCTTTACATAGCTGTAGAACACTCACTTCAGTGTTTTAAAAGCATGAATGTAGATGTAAAAGTGCCAGTTAAATGAGATTACTTTTTCCTAATGAAATAACCAAAGAGGAGTTTAAAGTTTCCTAAACTTATATGACATTTTCAGAGCAAATAATAAAGTTCTAGCCCTCCAGTGTGTCTCTTATTCATGAGACTAACATTTCAATACCATATCTTGCTGTAACACAATTATTGGAAAATAGGGAATTTATTTATCTGAAACAATCTGTCATACATTAGGTGGATCCACTTCCAGGTGAGTGAAGATTTTTAGCAGCATTAGACAATAAAGAGAAGGACACCGGGACCATATAGGTTGGGAATGTACCATCACCATTACCCTGACATGGGACTGACCTTAGCAGGATTAGCAGGGCCTTAACAAACTCAGCCTTTGGGGAGGCAGGTGACAGTATAAAACATAAAACATGTAACTCAGCAAGTGAGAAATAAATAGAAGAAAGCCTCATGTGGCAGAAAGCCTCATGATGGAGAGGTGACTATGTTTCTGCTTAATCTCTGTATATAATCCATCTCAGTGTTCCCTCTTGGAAACAGAAGCCTAGTCCTGTGGGTTGGGACAACATGGCTAGATTGGGGGCAGGAGTAGGGAGGTGGAGAAAAAGGGGCAAGTTGCTTATATGAAGCCCAGTATGGGAGGCAGAGCACAGCAGGAGAAGCTGAGAAGAACACCAAGAAAAATCATACAGTCATGGTCCAGACCCTGTTCAGGAGACAGTAGGTCTGGCAAAGGCTGGGGAAAAGTGCCAATTTCTTGGTCAAGCAAGTTGAAGTTCAGGGTAGCACTATGAAAACTTGCCACTCTAAATCTGATTTGTTACCTAAAGTGAGAACCCACCACTGGGGTCAAGAAAACCTCTGGGTACTTGGAGCCCACCCTAGCACTTGAGATTCAGAGATAGTATCCATGAAACTTATTCTGGCCCCAACAAATATTGAGCCACCAAAAAAGTTAAAATGCACACAGTGCTGGTAGGATTGGGTTTAGGAATGTGACAGGGTGGAGCCTGTCAGGAACAGTGGATAGGGATGGGGGGAGACAGGCACTCATGATCTCCTGCTTGTTTAGATGATCTCCAGAAATCCCTTAGAACAGTATCTTTTCTGCTAACATAGAGAGAAAGTGGCATTAACACAGTCTTTTCTATATAGTTGAATCCATAAACATACTGAAATAGATAAGCCATAATACTTTATAATACTTTTGTAACTCTTTGAGGTACTACAATTCAGTTTCCCACAGTATCTGGATCTATAAGAAAAGCTCATTTTAAGATCTCTGTTGTAACTAATGATACAAGTGACATTGTGTCTCTCACGAGCCACTGAAATATAGGAGTGTGGGTCTGAATTTCAGAAGGGACAATGGAAACTTTTACTCTTCAAATTGGCCTTTGGAATGGTCATGCGTTCAGATTTATCAAGGAACCCTCAGGACTCCCTTTTGATAGAAGTTGATATAATCACAGCGAAGATTTTCTGTTCCCCCAAATTTTAAACAGCAAAACGAGCACTAACTTCCCCCTTATTATCTCTCTCTCCCTCTAAAGGATGAAAGACTGACTGTATTCGCAATACATACATGTTATGTATTGCAGATGGCCATTTCGTAAAGAATGTTCCTTTCTTTTACCTTCTGTCTTGATTGGCTTTCTAAAAATAAAAGTATCTCTTCTTGCGGCACCTGGGTGACTCAGGTGGTTGAATGTCCGACTCTTGATTTCAGCTCAGGTCATGATCCCAGGGTTTTGGGATCCATGTCTGGCTCCACGCTGAACACGGTGCCTGCTTTAGATTCTCTCTCTCTCTCTCTCTCTCTCTCTCTCTCTCTCTCTCTCCCCCTCTGTCTTCTGCCCCACGTGTAATCTCTCTCTCTCTCAAAAAATAAAAGTAAAAATAAAAGTATCTCTTCTAAAAGGTGTGGTTTTGCATTCAAATGCAGGGGCTGGTAACCATGACTCATTGAGCTCCCCAAAATCATTTTCCCCTCTGGACTAGATATTCTGTCTCTCCCTCTAGATTTACTCTTGACCCTTTTCCACTCTGCTGTGTGCCCCAGGATCCTGACATCTGCGGACCACATCAACAGCTCTCCTTTCCTTCTGGCTTCCAGATGGGTTCAGCCAGTGGGGGGCGCTGGCAGGAGATCAGAGGGCGAGAGGAAGGAGGGGTTTGGTGTTTACTGCCCTGACTCCTGCTCTCTGGAGCTCTGGTTGCCAGTGGTTGCCTTCCTGTGGGGAAGATCACAGCCCCTGCCAGGCAGCTTGGTTCAACTCACAGCTCTGTCCTCTTGCTCCTTCATCCCCTAGGGGTGGAAACAGCTCCTGGTCATTGCTACCCCCAGGATGTTTACTCAGCCTTTAGGCTTCCCTCGAACCTACCCACATCTTTGAAAATGGTCCCTTCATTCAACTCTATTTGATTGCCTTCTGAGTGTACCATCTGTTTCCTGCCAGGCCCCTGAATGATACAACCTCTCTATTTACTTCATGGTTTCCCAACACTTTCAGGATATGCTGGTAGCCAACATCACAAAGAGGAGGTGCAACTCTTCCCTGGGTCTCCTGAAAGGCTTGCAAGGCAGTCAGTTACAATTGAGGGTTAAAACGGAACCTGCGGATTATCTCTGGGTTTCAATTATCCTTGTTACCCTTATTCTATCTTGCACAGAGAATTGGGAATTGGCTATGTCAAGACTAAGTTGACGCACATCACAGAAGCTATACAGCAGTCTATCTGCTCATTAAGAGTTTTTTACTGAGTATGTCCCACTGATCTCCCACTTCTCGAAATGCTTTTGATGTGGGTTTAATTCTAAGTTCTGACAGAGAAAGGGTCTCACATCTTTGGTCCCCAGTGTAATCTTCACATGACTGTCAAAAATGCAACTATTTGTCCCCAGGCTTAAAGTGCCGGCTCCAAAAAAGGTCAAAGATTCTCCCCAGGAACATGTACAACATTCAGGCACATAGTCAAGATCTTCATTTTATCTCACACTGTTGTTCGATCTCATGTTAATTTGGGTATCATATTTCCATTGGCCCAATCTATGCTGAGCACATTTTAAAAACAGAATAATATGCAGTTCCTATTTCCTTTCTAAGACCACATGTCCACCTGCTGTGCTACAGAAACACGGGTAGGCCAAATTTAAACCCCTAAAAAGGTAATGAACCATTTACCTAAGTAAAAGTCACTTTTCTTTAATAATTTTCACTTGTAACTCTTAGGATGCTTCTTATGGCCATCCTCAGTAGGTTACATTTGATTTAAAGAACAAGGTGACAAAAATGAAATCTTTTAAGAAGCAACAAATAGCAAGTCTTACCTAGTTAGTTATCAAGAAAATAAAATGTTTCTCCACATGGAACATAGTTTTGCGTCGTTTTTTTAAAACTTCTAGTCAAACATCATGTAAGTAAAGTCTTTCATACTATAAATCCTCTTGTAAGGAATAGAATTCTCAATCTTTAACTGCTTTAAGAATTGGAGTCTCCTTGAAATTCGGGATCTCTCTAGAAATAACCGTCGTAGACAGCAATACCATTGCTAATTAATTTTCGCTAACAACACTGCTGGGAGATGAGTAGCTATTTTCCCTGATTTAGGGAGGATTGGTAACTTGGCCAAATTGTATTTTGAAATTTTGCTAGAAGTTCTGCAATTCTGGTGTCACGTTTATGCTCAATCCATAATTCATTTTCATTCTCTCTTCTTTTAAACCGCTAACTTTGAGGTTAAAGCAAATTGTGTAATTTTTTGGCCCTAAAATGATGCTGGAATTGCATAGGACCAGCTTCTTACAGTGTGGGCTTTTGGAGTCTCCAAGCATGGCTCAATTTTTAGTTCTGCGGCTACTTACAACTTATTATAGAACTAGTTACACAGTGAGTTCTCTGTTGTTTTACAGTTACGCACACACACACACACACACACACACACACACACACACACACACATTAGGGTACCTATGACTGGGAGCACAATTAGGTCTCCATAGTTTATCGCCATCTTGTAAAATAAACTGGCATGCACAAAATAAATGATGGCCAACTATGACTATTATTATGATAACTGTTCTTTAGGAATTGTGTCCACAATTACTTAACTGCTTCCAAGCCGGGTGATATTGTTGAGCAGCATTGCCACATGATGAGATTTTCACTCCAAATATGTGGAAAGAAAAAAAATTCCCAACACTTGCTTTTCCTACAAAATAAATTATTTCAACATTTTGTGGAGGAAGTTTGAGAAAACCAAGCAGCTACAGCATAGCATAAAGCTGTGACCGAAGAATTGGGTTATAGCCCTGGCTTTGCTAATATGCTGCCTTTCATCTGGGGGAAATCAACAAAAGCCTTTTGGGGTTCAGTGTTCTTGCCGTTAAAAGCAGTTGGACTGAAATGAGTCCTGGGTTTGCATCAAACTTTCAACATTATGATTCAACCATTGGTGTGCACAGAATAGCAGTTAAACACCCAGGCTTTGGGATCTCTGCCAGAGTGTAAATTCTCACTCTGCCACTTAATCTCTGTGAACTTGGGTAAGTTTCTCACTTTCTGAGTCCTGAATTCCTCATTAATAAAAGGGAGATTCAGTGCTGTGCTGGAGCGGGCTCACATGGACTGAGGAAACGATTGTACACACATCTCTTCCCAACTTTATGTTCAGCGACATCACCCTGGTGGTTTGAATTGGCCACGATGGGAAAATTTACACCACAGAGAAGGAAATTGGCAAAAGCCACAAAGAGAGCTCTCTGCTTTCCCCAGAGAGCCAGTTGTTAGACATTTACCAGCATAGCACAGCACTGGAGATGAAAAGAGTACTTATTTAATAAATGTTGTTGGGTGATTTTAGCGTTATGGGAAATAAATCATACAAATAATAAATCGTATAAGACCATTCTGAATGCATATTATGCTTTCCATAAATATTATTTTCATTTTATTATAGGCTATCATCTATTTAAAAAGTTAGAGGAAAATGTGATGCTATTCTCACAAATCTTGCTGATTCTAAAAACAAGTAAAGCTCTACAAAATTTGCATGAGTCTCACTTTTGCTCAGTCACTAAGTTCCAAAACAAGGAAAAGAATTCTGTGTCTAATTCTGGTACTTACAGTTCCTCTGTGAAACGCTGGCCCCGATAGATGGTTTTCCTCTTTACAGTTTGAGCAAGGATTTGTCCTCTTTGGTTCTAGAATCTGCATACAGCTGGTAGCAGCCCAATGATACATTTTTCCTAGTGTGGAAAAAGATTCCTAGATTGTTTTATAGTCAACCCTGATCTCCATCTAACACTCCCTGTCTCAGTCCATCTTGTTCTGGCCCGAAATCCAGGAGACTGCTTTCATTCCCCTGCTCCCTCACTTTTCGTTCCAGTCAATTTCACTTCCAAACTACCTCTCCAGCCTGCTTACCTTCTTTATCTCCTCTTCCACCACCGGTATTCAAACCTCTGGTGCTGCTGTGAGGACTGCTGAAAAGTCTCCTCCCTGCTTTCGTTCCCCCCTCCACCCCCCAGCCTCTATTCTTCCAGCACACTCTTCTGCCCATGTCATTCTTCATTCTCCTGCTTGGAACCCACCAAGGCCTTCCCACTGCTTCTACAATGAAAGTGTGATCTTCCCCCATCCCACCAGTTCCTGTGCAGTCAGGTACCCTGCCTCCCACTGAGAGCTGTGCTCTAGCTTCTTGGACCTTCTTTCTGTTCCTTGAATGCGGCAAGCTTCCTCTGTCTGGGATATTGTCTCCCCCACTGCCTCCTTCTTCACTTTATCCTTCAGACCCCACTCCAAGTTAGTGTCATTTGATCAGGAAATCCCTGTCTGACTCCAAGGCTCTCTTTACACATACCTAACAAAAGGTGTCCCAGTCCTTCAGAACACATATCTGCTTGCAATGTTACATTCGTTGTTTTGATTAATTTTCCATCTATCTTCCCCACTAGACTGTGAGTTCCACAGGCTAAATTTATTTAGCTAATCACTATATCCTCTGTGGCAAATACACATATGGCACATATTTAGCTGAATGAAAAGACAAATTGCCAGGGTAAAGTGGTCCATCCAGACAATGGAATATTATTCAGCACTAAAAAGAAAGGAGCTATCAAGCCATGGAAAGACATGGAGGAAACTTAAATGCATCTTCCTATGTGAAAAGCCTACATACTGTAAGAAGTCTACAGACTGCATGATTCCTACTACAGGACATTCTAAAAAAGGCAAAATTATGGATACAGTAAAAGATCTGTGGTTGCTTGAGGTTTGTGGAGAGGGCACGATGAACACACAAGAGCATAGAGATTTTTAAGGAAGTACAACTACTCTGTGTGATACTATAATGGTAGACACATGTTACTATACATTTGTGAAAACCCACAGAAAATACTACACCAAGAGTGAACTCTAATGTAAACTATGGACTTTGGGTGCTGATTATGTATGTGTCAATGTAGATTCATTGATTGTAATAAAGGTACCACTCCGGTGAGGGATGTTGATAGTGGGGAAAGTTTGGAGGGGTGGGGCAGGAATGTGGGTACTCCGTACTTTGCACTCAGTGTTGCTGTGAACCTGAATGGCTCTAAAAATAAAGTCTATTAAACAAACAGACGACTGCATGAATGAATGGGTGAATGAATGAGTAACTGAAAAAATCTTAGCTAGGTCTCTCATGTCAGTGGTCCCCGTGGCACATAAGGCAAAATCCAAACTCTTTTCTACTGCTGAGGAAGCTCCACATGATCAGGATCCTATTAGCATTTTGCCTCCTTCTCACTAAACTCTGGTGACCCTGACCTCATTTATGGTCCTCAGGCACATCAAGCTCAGCTTTATTTGCTCTTAGAAAATTCTGCCTCTGGATGTCACATGGCTGCCTTCTTCCATCTTTCAGGCCTCATACCTCAAGTGTGACCTCCTGGGAGAAGTCTTCCCTGATCATCAAATCTAAAGTACCCACCCCTCCCCCTGACTATCCGCTTTTAAATAGCTTCCTTCCACCTGTTTTATCTGTTGCACTTAACTACGTGAAATAATCTTAGTTACATATTTCTTTTCTTACTGTCTTACTCACTAGATGGCAAACTCCATCAGAGCCTAGTCTTTATTTGTCTCCTTCACTGCTGTATACCCAGCATTCAGACATATGGCACGTAATAGGCGCTCAATAAATATATGTCGAATGAATAGATAAATGTGATTTACTGCTTTTTATTTTCTTGGATTCTTTCCACATTTCTTTCTTCTCTTTGTCCCCCCTTTCTCCTCAAAATTTAAATCTACATAGTGTCTATATTAATCTCTAATATGGTTTTGTAGGGGCCCCAGATAAGTCACTTTGGCATGAAGATTATTTTGATTTAAAAAGCAATTGAAACCTAGCAGATTCAGTAAAAGCTCTTTACCTCCCCACTAAACTGCCTAAAAAGAATGTAAAGGACCTGTTCCAGGAAGAGAGCTGTCACCACAGAGAACTACATTATGATATAAATTAGGTATGGCAGATAGGGAGAAACTTGGAAAGACCTATTTGACCAAAGTTCTCTATTTCCTACTCTTTCCGAGTGTCCAAACACGCATTTGTTTAAGAAACATTTGCTCTTTTTTATCTTCTTGTGAACTCCATTCTTTTCCTTTAAAGTTCCAGATTCCTTCCCCTTCTCCTTGGTTCAGAACCACGTATATTTTACCTGTCTTTGGAATTTCATGTCCGTGCGGATTCCTCTTAGTATGAAATTAAATTTGATTTTCTCCTGTTAATCTGTCTCATGTCAATTTGATTTTTAGTCTAACTGGAAAGACCCATTAAAGGGAACAGGGAATTCTTATTCCCTGAAAGTTTTATGAAACTCAAATTTTTGCACCTTCTGTGGTGAAAGTGCTAAACCTTTAACAAAAAGGTTTAACTTAGTTTAACTGAAACCAACTTTCAGTTAAGAAACACAAAATCCTTATTACAGATATATAATCTTTTAAAACATCTTTGTGCACAATCTTTACAAATACCTAAGAACATTTTGTATATTTGAGGAAAGGAAAAAAAAAATTTCTATACTCTTCAAAATTCTTCTGGCTGGTCTAAGAATCAAGTTGACATGAAACAGATTCACAGAAAAAAAAAAGAAAACAAAAGTTTAATAACATGTAAACCTTCTGTATACAGGAGAGAGACCCAAGAAAACTCAGCAATTCCCTGAAAAGCCTGAAGCCACCACCTGAAATACTATCTTCAGCCTAGAGACAAAGAAGATGTTGGGGATGGGGAGTCAGTTAAGGAAGGTAACTAGTAAAAGCACAATTAACAATAGGAGAGCTGTTACGTAGGTTTAAGTCCAGTGCCTTCTCCAAACAGTAACAGTTCCTAGAGATTTAGAATCATCCTCGTCCTTCTGAGGGACTCAGGCTTGCAAATAGAGATTTCCCTTATAAATGTAAATGAATCTTACAAAAGGGTAACTTGTACTTGTTTTTCAAAGCTTCTCCTGTGTCTGCTGTTTCTTAGAAATAGTCAGCTTAAAATAACCAACACGCCAAAGAGGCATATTTTAGGGTAGCAACTTTTGCTCTCCTACGATAAAAAGGAGCACAATCTAAGACAGGACAGACTTGTTTTCATTCCACTCTTAAGTAGTAGCTGTCCCCTAAAAATATAACTTTTGGTTAAGGTTAATATAATTTGAAGCACATAGAGTAATGCAAATTGGCTATTTTTTGGTACTAATTGTGTTATTTAGAAAAAGGGTTCACATGTTCCTAGCATGTGCTAGAGACTAGGATATAAAAACAGGACAGCGCCTGTCTGCATGAGGTCTATACTCTGAGGAAGGGATTCCTATGCTAAACTTTCCTTCATAAATAAAAGAGCAGGTATTTTTTCCCTTATCCCTTCCATTTGCATTTATTTACATCTATATCTTCATATAAATTTCCAAAAATCAGTGTACAATTGGATTTCCAGATTTTTTTCAGTATAGCATGCCCTCCCGTCTTTTTTCTCTTTGAGATAATCATGTGATCCCTTAGGAACTTGTTTTCTTTATATGCAAAATTGGAGAAATAGCATTCTTCCTTTCAATTGGAGAATATTTAAAACAACACAATAAGAGCGTTTAGAACAGCAAAAACCAACAGGAAGATACTATAAAAGGCTGAGACAGACATTCTTCCCTTCTTTAGGACAAGTTTCTTGAGAGCTGCTTTTTAATTCAAACAATCCACTGATCTTATTGCCACCTTTTTCTATATCTAATGTTGCTGCTAAATTGTTGTAGAGATTGTTCCTTTACTCACCCATTCAACTGTTGCCAAATTTCCATGCATAAAAATTGTTAGTCTTAAGTTAGCACACAAAAAAAAATCACAGTCTTAAACTAGTATACCTTCCAAACATAAATATGTAAACCAAAAAAAAAAAAAGGTTGAATATTTTCGTTTAAACAGATCTTTAAGTAAACACTCACTTCCGACTTTAGTCCTTGAATATGCTAACATCAGCTGTAATGAAATGCAAATAACTATGTTAATGCAAATGTTAAAGCTACAAATTCAAACATAAAAAAGTCAAGAAATGCAAAAGTTAAGGTTCTCCTAGAAACATTAACTCACTCAAATTGTACATATAGAATATTTCCAATTACATAGAAGACAGCAAAATGCGATCCCTTAATGTACTATATGTACAACCCGAGTAAGTTAATGCTGTTATGAGAACGTTAAATTTTACAACCTCTGACTTTGTTTTAAAACTTACTGCCTGAACATTGCATCATTCCTATCCTTATAATGCTATTTTCCTAAAATAGAAAGAAAACAGAAGAGGAACAAATCTCACATACTTTCCATCAATTTAGGATTCTGCATTTAGACTATATTTTAGTTAATAGATGACACAAATACATGCTTGGACACCTTCTCACATTTTTCCAATTGAAAAATTTCCACTTTGCGTGGATTAATGGGAAGTTACATTGAGATATTCTAAGTTATAGATTTATAGAAATATATAATAAACATGTGTGAAGTTGCATTTGCCTTTATATACGTGTAATATGGAAATTATTCAAATAAAAATTTCACCTACGAAGCAAAACTTTTTATAAAATATAGAATTGGGAGAGAAAACATCAGATGATTTTTTAAAAATGAAATTCCACTCTATTTTAATCCCTGATCTGGAACCACAGTCATTTTTTGTACAGTTTTCCTCAAAGCCATTTTCCCTCTCACTTTTGGAGAA